TGATTACACCACAGAGTTTATGTTGCCAGTAAAGAGGAGTAGCAGAGGTTTGAATATCATCATCTTACCTACTGAGTGAAATAGTCCAGAGGAGAAAGTGTTTGGTTACGTGGACGATTTAAGCAGAAGAACTCAGGTGTTTGAGGAGAAAGGTTCAGGTCAGTGTAGCTGTGAGCAGATTTAAGTTCAGTTATGTTGATTTGAACTGAGTTAAGAGTTGAGTTTCTTTTTTATTTCTTTGTAAATATTGTTTGGGTCACAAAATAAATCACTCGCTACACTGGACAACATCAGTCTCCTGCACTTCTTTGACCGCTTAAGTCAAGTCCTACCACACCAGCGATCGTTGCACACAAATCTGTGACTAAACTGCAGGAACAATGACGTTTGAAGACAGTTTTTATGAAGATGGTTCAGCGAAATGTAAACAAAGACAGGCTAAACACAGGGCTGGAGTTCGATCTATAAGAGTTCCCGTGGTGTGGTATAAAGAGATTTTTCACAATCAGGTATTTGGTCTTTGTGATGCGTCGTTTCGTGGAGTGTGCGCCGGTTACTCACCGACCACAGTGAGCAGCATATTGTCGAGCAGCAGAGCGACACAAACCACCACCAGGACGAGTCTGGGTGAGCCTCGACTCTGATGGAGCAACGCCATGTCTGCAAAGACACACGCCGGTCATCCGTCAGTCTCCTCAAGATCAACCAAAACCACCGTTCATAAAACATGTAGCTCCACCAAATTAAGACAAACATGCACCCGAGTCAAACTCCAAAGTAAGAAAAAGCAAACATGACTCAAAGCAACTGATTTAAATATTTGCAAAAAGCTTTATTTACAGACGATAACTGTGCGTTTAGTCGAGTGTTGTCCAGAGTCCGGAGAACAGCTGTTTTTCTCAGTCGTTATGCAAACACACGTTTCTGCAGCGAGACCTGAAGGACCTGAAGCAATAAGAGCAGCTGCACAGAGACTGGGAGCTGCTTCATATCACATTAAATCTTTAATAAAACAGCAGAACATGCTGTTATTATCAGCCTATGCCTGCAGACCACAGACGTGGAGGTTTGTCTGCACTGTCGGGATCTGTGCAGCTTGAACATCAACAGCCCGTCAGTCCTCTCCATTTAACTAATCTAATGTGCCAATTATATGAAGGTACCTACTAAAACATGAGGCAGCTCCATAGTGCTTTACTCATTATCCTAATAAGCAGAAGCTCCCAGGTTTGATCCCGGGACACAAATCCCTCTGGGGCTACAACAGGAAGTTCATCTGCCAAGTCACACATGAAGCGCCTGTTGTGGTGACGAGATGAAAGAAACTTTTATCTACTAACAAGTGTACTCATTCCTCTGTGAGCAGTTCAGTCCTTAATGAGTCTTTTAAAATTCGCTACACATAAAACACAGCTTGACACCAAAGTATAGCATCTTCAACAAGCTGTCAAACCTTCACACCAACAGCACCAAAACTGTTAACCCACAGAGCAAAGCAGGAACTCCAGCAACACTTAAGGGAAGATGAACAACTTTAATAACTGACCAACGCGTTTCGGCTTGTGGCCTTCATCAGGGTCATAGTACAACATTGTAAAAAAATGCTTAAATACAAGACAGGAAACAGAAAAAGACTCAGAATAACCAATCAAAACTTCATAGCTAGATCAGCTGACATATAGGTAGGTATTGGTTAATTGGTTAAGTCACCCAAGTAAATACTGGGCTGTATCCCAATTCAGGGTCTGCAGCCTTAAAGGCCGCATTTTAAGGCCGATTATGTCACAGCGACGCGACGAAGGCTGTCCCAATTCGAAGACTGCTCGAAATGCGGCCCTCAAATGCGTCCTTCATTTCCCTGAATTTTAAGGACGTGGCGGTGTAGACTTCGTGGCCCAACATATCCCAGAATGCATAGCGCGGCGGTGGGTGTGGATAATTTTGCCGAAAAAAACGGTGGATGAGGGGCGCCGAAGAGTAAACTTTAAGTAAGTACTGAATATTATGTCACTTATTTATGTGCAAATGTTTAATAACGAAGAACATTAAAACATTACTGTTGGCCACATGTCGGCAAAGTCATGTGACATTAGTGACGTTTGTACTAACTTGGTTTTAAAGCCTTTACTTTAAAATATACGCCGTTCAATAGCTGAGCTTAATCAGAGAATGATCAAAGCTCATGTAGAAACAAACAAATGAACAAAAGATTTTCTCCTTCATCTCTGTCAAACAAAGCTGTATGAAACGTTTCCAGCTGTTAGTGTCATGGTTGCTAGGCAACCTGGGCGGCGCAACGGAGGCTAGACCGTCCATTTCACAAGCCTTGCACTTCCGGCCTTAGCGGTCTTTGAGTACGCGACCCTTGAGGATCGTTGAGGCTGCAGACCCTGAATTGGGATACAGCCCTGGACTAGATCATTAATGATGAGGACGGGGGGGAGGAGACATAACCCCCACCTATCTCAAAATAACACATGCGTGAAATACACAAGAATACTATGAATATACAAAACAAAAATGGACAAAGGGCAGTGTTTAATAATAAAAGGAGGTTGGTCCAGCAGATGAATTAAAAACAAGAGGACATCATCACATGGGAACACATTTGTTAAAAGGTCCTAATTTATGTCTCTAAAATGTAAAATCTCTAAAATGTAGACTTAAGATGAGATGTCTAGAATGCTACTCCTTCTTCGGCTGAAAAAATAACTAAAATTAATTAAATAAACATTACTCATGCGAGAATAATTTAACTGATAAATGAGAATAAAAACATAAGAATAAATCCTCTCCATGCACCTTGGAAGTAGGTGAAGTTGTGCCAGGAAGTTTTGCTGTGATTTATCTTCTTCTGGTTCTGAGACACACTCACCATGAAGCAACAACATCAACAACATACGGCACGTCCCACTCGACCACAAGAGATGATGACATTCAAGGAGCATCAGCCTTCTGTGGCTTCAATCCCATAGACGTTTTGAGGAATTCTTCACTCTTTGAACAAGACACCAATCAGGAGGCAGCAGATCACCTGAGGAAGTTCTACTCCGGAGGAAATGGCATGCTATCACCTTATCAGACTACATCAGGAAAGAAGTGATCCCAAGAAGACTACGTATTCTCAAGCCGCCATCTTTTGGTAAAGACAATCCAGCTTTCACTACTGCATGGAATAGTGTCCTCAACAAAGGCTCCTGTGTGTTGATGGCTATTACTATTAGGTAATATTACAGGCACCTCGAGGTGTTGGCAAGAGACAATAATGATGTGCTGAAAGAAATGGAGGAAACTGATCTCAGACTAAAGGAATATGAAGATGAAATAAAGGACCTCAAGAGAACCAAATTCCTAAGAGATGAGAGAGATTACAGAAAGTGATTTATATACCCGTGGTCCAAAGATACCCATAACTTAACTACCAGTGCTGCCACGATCACTGAACCATGCCAAACACAACAAAAAGTTTGGTTTAAGAAAACACATCCAAGACCAAGACTTCCTTCAACTGCCACAAATAAGAAAAAGCCACAGCACAAATTACGCTACCAGTCAAAATATCCTTTTTTGGACCAGAGTTTCCCCCCTTGGAACCAGGGCTGGACTGGCCATCGGGCATACGGGCATTTGCCCGGTGGGCCGCTCATGATTTTTCGTTTTTATGGGCCGATGGGGTTTTATTTCTTATAAATGAAAGGTGGTGGATTGGCCAGTCGGTCATGATCGACTATGGGCTGGACCAATTACAGCCGAGGAGGTCGAACTTTAAAATTGACGTGAAAAGGAACGCGATTTGTCCCGCACTTTTTCAGCTAGAAAGTTGCTAATTCAATCATGAAACTGATCAATGATCAGCTGATCGGCTTTTCTCTCTTGTTTGTTTATCGCCCACTTTGTGCCAGAAACAGGAAACCAGCGGATGTCGCGCTAAACAGCAGCACGTTTAATAAGCTTGTTAGAATTTATTTAATATTAATTTCTAGTATCAGCTGATGTTTGCTGGAGCCACAGCTGTAAAGCTGCTGGTCATGATGTTTGGATATGTGGTGAGAGGGAAACATGAAGATGAAACCAGGAGATGTCCTTACTGAATCATCAGAGCTGAACAGCTGATGGAGAAACAGGTTTACCTTTTAGGTGACATGGATGAGTTGAAGTTATGAACTGTTTCTGAGAGACAAATAACACCAGGATCCTTTTCTAAGCAGCTGACAGCTGGTAACTGTGCAGGGGCGGGTCTAGCAAAGTGTTGCCAGGGGGGCAGGTAGGGCATTAACAGGAAGAGGGGGGCACAAAGAAATACTTTCTTATTCTCATTTAAAATATCTAGCTTTTAACAAATAATTATCTGAATCTTTCAACAAACGTTTGTATCTGATGTAAAATGTATAGAAATCATTATTGTATTCAGTAAATATTAAGTCTAGTATATATCCTAGTAAGTTATAGTATTCTTTCCTTTGTTAAGGCACCATCTGTGCAGTCTGCAGTTCTGCTGAGGAAAGATGTTGAATCTATTTAATTACTGGGGAAAAATGATAGGTTTCTCTGCATTTGTTTTATACATGCATTAAATTTAAATCAGTTTTGTCACTTGAGGCAGAGGGTGGGGGAGTGGTTCCCTATTTTTTTTTATTTTCTTTTTTTGCTGGGAGTTGGCAACCCTATTAGTGAGGTATATGTAATTATAAATTAGGTTGTTTTATATTTTTGCTAAGTACAGTGTAGAATAGCAGAATAGGGAGGATGGTGAGGTTTAAGTTTATTATAAATGCTTTATGGCTTTTCCTAAAATGCTGACTTTTTGTCCCAGTCCAGCCCTGCTTGGAACCTCCATCCAGGAGAGGCCCCAATGCAAACGCACACGGCGGGGAAAAAGGAAAAGACTCACTGAACCGTCCATGGACCCGATCCCAATTGCGGGGAAGAAGTCAGCTGTTGTCACCACCACTGCTTTGACCCCTGCTCAGCTATCAGTGCTTGAACTTGGTCTTTCTTTTATACCAACTCCGTCTGTAAGTCAATTTGAACTCTTTTTAGATTTGCAAAATTTTTTTGGAGATGTTAGACACAAAGAATTTTTTATGAATAATGAATCTTCCCACAATACTGTACACAAAAGTACCTTTTATATTAAAAGCAACTTTTGCCCTCCTAAGAACAGAGACCATGTGATAGATACACACTGTAGACTCACAGAACTACAACTCGAAAAACATGTTAAATGTTTTCTTTTCTTCACACAACCTAGCAGATGACCAACAGAAAGCACTGGCAGAACTGGCACAGAATAAATCCATTGTCATCAAATCCGCTGACAAAGGAGGCGCCATTGTCATAATGGACAAAATTCAATATGAAAATGAAATCTTAAGACAACTAGCAAATCAAACTTTCACCTCTGTCAGTGCGCCCCAGGGCAGCTGTGGCTACAATGTAGCTTGCCATTGCCAGTGTGTGAATGTGTGTGTGACTGAATGTAGTGTAAAGCGCTTTGGGGTCCTTAGGGACTAGTAAAGCGCTATACAAATGCAGGCCATTTACCATTTTACAAAAAACTTAAATCTGACCCTACAAAAGAATACTTTAAAGAACTACAATTGATACTTGAAGAGGGTTTGACCCAAGGGGACATTTCTCTGAAGGAGAAAACATTTT